TTGCGAGGGGTGCCTGCTCGTTTGGGGGGGCCCCCGGGCCCGGGGGGGGGGGGGGGGGGGGTCCCTGCGGCTGCCCCGGCTGCCCCCTTGGGCCGAAGAGTAAAGCCTGACGGAGCGGGCGGCACGCCGGCCCCGTCGTTGTCCAGGGAGCGGGGTAAACTGAGGCACGGCGGCCCCAACAGCCGGCGAGGTTCTGCGGCGCGTGGCCGGGCGGAGGTCTTTCCCCGCGGCCCGATAGCGATGGCTACATTTGTATCGAGCAGCCGGGCAGCCCGTGGCTCGGCCTTTCTTCACCTCCCGGTGCCCCCAGCTAGACCTGGCAGCCTGCCCTCGGAAAGTACCCAGAGCAGACAGGCAGGCTTCGGCTGATCTGGCACCGAAGCCGAAGAGGGTGCCGTGGAGTTAGGGGAATAGGAGCAGAGGGCTTACGAGTGCTAGACCTGGACCAAGATCCCCAGCTCTGACACCCAGTAACCTTGATTATCATCTGTAAAATGGGGGTAACAACTGCTGTAGTTTATTATTAAATCGTAGGCCTGCCTCACTGGCTTGCTGCGAGGCTCAAAGTAGATCTTTACTAAGGAAGCTTTATATAAATGGTAGCAATCGTTAGCCCTGCCCCTACTTTCTGGAGGGTGGTTTTTTTTTTTTTGACTCACAGATGGAATAAACTAGGCCCAGATGGGGAAGGCTGAGGTATCCTTTCCTGACATCACTCCAGTATTGAAGCATACCAAAGGAAATAAATTGGGTACATTCAGGATCTCATCCGTGTGGGTTTCTCCAGCCAGTTACAGATTGGGACTTTTTTTCATTCTGTGCAGAGATACCCGGGCAAAGGTGAAGATTTCCATACGTGTGACCAAGAATGCCAGAGATGAAGCTGAGTTGTCATTAAGAGAAGAAAAGGAGGGGTTCCTTTAAGGAAAAAGAGAGGAGATAAGAAGTAGACACTGGGCTAGATGAGATCCATTGGGTCGCTGGGCAAAAGGGAAGGGATGGCAGGATCACGGCTATGGGGAATGTGCAACCTGCTGATTATCCTTCCAGCGTATTCATAAATGGGGCATTTGAAACTTAGGGAGCAGTTATATAGCAGAAAGAAATCTTTGCAAGGGGAATCCTTGGGCTGAGAGACAATAACGATGCAGAGACCTGGGAAAATCAGCAAAGCTTTACCACCATTTAATTATGAATAATTTACAAGTGACTTTAGCATATTAGTCTCCATACAAAATGCATTTAAGTATACAAATCAAGTTACCAGTGTATGTTACAGTACCACATCCCATCAGCCATGGGCACAGGCGACTCCCAGCTCCACTAGATGGGCTAAATCCATTTTCAAGAGAAACCAGAGTTTGCCCAAGCAATACCCAGATTTGAAGAGTGTGAGGATGGGAGGGAAGGCACCACAGGATTAAAATCCCCACAAGAGAGCTGTTGCAGTTGTAAGTCTCAGTCTTCTGTTCATATCAAATACCCCCCAAAACTTGCCCTACCACATAAGTCAGAGCCAAGCCTTTGACCTCACTGGCAATAGGGCATTCACTAATGCAGAGAAACCAAGTAACCTCCCCTGCCAGATATCTTCATATACTGGGGGAAAGTATTTTCCTGGAAGAAATATTCAAACTCCTCAGTTTGAGGGGATGCCCATCAATTGGAGAAAAACCTGGGAAGGCAGAGTGAAGTAGGCAGAACCAGACCAACCTACAAAGTAGCCACAATATTGTAAAGAAAATCAACTGAAAGACTTAGGAACTCTTAGCAACACAATGACCCACACACAATTCTAAGCACTCAAGATGAAACATGCTATCCACCTCCAGATAAAGAGCTGGTAGACTCAGGAATAGCGACTGCGGCACATTTCCTTCTTTTTAAACTTTTTTATGTAGAAGCACCAGTAAGTACTGTCTGCAGCTTCAGATAAAGTGACTGGGAAGCCTGGTAAGTTTCATCTCATGATCTCATGGCACATAATAGAGAGACATTTGTTTAGGATGAGGAGGAGAGAAAGGATGGTGCAAATTCCCTACACCAAGCCCTAATATTGCTTCTAACCTGGGTTCCTAGTCCTCCAGAAAGCTGACCCTAAGATCACCGAGGCCAAAATCCAGCCCCCGGGGAGTGAGGGGTATGCTGGGGTCACCAAAGGCACACGGTATTCACTGAAGGCACAAGAGATCCTTTTTATTCCATTTCCCAAATTCCCAACAGCCTCAGTGTAATTTTTAAAAGTGGGGTGTGTGAAGAGGTCAACATTTCATCTGGCTGTCCCTCCCAAAGCAGAGCCCAGAATCAAAAGGAAAAAGGTTTTCTTTTTCCTTCCAGGGAATCACAAAATCCTTTAAACTCGGCTGGAGGAAAAATGGGGGGGGGGGGGGGGGGAGGCACAAAGGAGGGGTGAGTTGCTTCCACCGAACAGGGGAAGGCCTCAATCAAAGGTGGGACAACCTCGAGCTACTTTAAGAGCCCTGAGGGAGCAGTTGGCAAGTCTCATAGGGCAGGGATGAAGATAGGAAACCTGTCCCTATCAAGTAGTCTCAAAGTTCAGCCCAGAAGAATAGGGACACAGAATCCCCTTAATGTAAGTGGTAAGAAGTAAGCTAAGCATGTCCTGTGTGGTGCTGTTTCCCTTTCTTACATCTTCCTCTTCACGGTAGAAAAGGGTAATGAAATGCTAGGCTACCTCTAGGCCTTCAGTGCCACCAGAACCTAGCCCCAAAGCACCAGTACCCCCATTAATCTTTGCACCAACAAATGAGCATTTATGAAGCATTTACTCTGTGCTAAGTACTGGGAATACAGAGCCAAAGCAGAAATGTTACCTGAGGCCCCAAGCCAAGTAGGGCTGGGTAGGAAACCAAAGGATATCCAAGAGGCCATGAGCTCCTGCCCCACCAGCCTCATTTGGAGGCCCCTGTTTCTCATGAACCTTTCCCATGAAAAAGCCTAATCTCAGGGGAAGAGAGGTGGGAAGGGCAGAGGCAGAAGGAGAGGAACTGGACTAAACACAAAGGAACATCTGGGAAACAGAAATGAGAACATTTTCAAAAATTAGTACATCAAAAAAAAAAAAAAAAAAGGAAAGAAAGAAAAGAAAAACCTTAAGGCAACAACTTCATGCAACCACACCTGCCTTCTTTCTTTTTTTGCCCACAAAGACCAATGCTCAGCACCAAGGAGCAGGTAGTCCTGCCAAGCTGTGGCCAGCCCCCCCCCCCCCCGCCCCCTTCCCCCACTTCCAAATCAGGCCCAGTCCCAAGTACCCCCAGGACTGGCGCCTACGGAAGGGTTCCTGGCTGAAGAGGCCCATGGCTCTGGATGGTGCCTAGGCATTGTCCCAGGAGCTACAAGAGGATGCACTTCTTTGTGTTCTTCTTGGTGACAGGGTATAGCACAGCTCTCACGGCCTCTGCAAATACCTCACCAACTCCATCCTGCATCAGGGCTGAGCACTCCAGATACTTCACAGCGCCCACCTGCTTGGCCAGGGAGGTCCCTTGCTGAGGGGTAGTAGGCGTTAGGCTCTGCTCCTTCAGCCTCTTCAACGTCGCCAGGTCATTTCGCAGGTCCTTTTTGGTGCCCACAAGCAGGATAGGCACATTGGGGCAGTGATGAGAGACCTCTGGATGCCACTTGTGTCGCACGTTGGCATAGGATGAGGGGCTGCCAATGGAGAAGCAGATGACAAAGACGTTGGTCTGCGGGTAAGACAGGGTCCGGAGTCGGTCGTACTCCTCTTGACCAGCTGTGTCCCACAAATTCAGGCTGACCGTCCGGCCATCCACAGACATCTGGGCACTGTAGTTGTCGAAGACCGTGGGGATGTACTCCTCGGGAAAGGCATTGGTCGTGTAGCTGATGAGAAGGCAAGTCTTGCCCACAGCCCCATCGCCGACCACCACACACTTGATGGTCTGCATCCTCCCTCCTTCCTCCTGCCTCCACAAGGAAAAGGAAAAAAGGTTCAGTTGAGGCTCTGTCACCTCAGGGAACAGGGCTTTGGCTAACACTGGATTACGAAAGTGGGGGGACACCCCGGCTCCCTTTTGCATTGGGGTCTTTTCAACAGATGAATGCACTGAAAACAAGGCCTGTGTTTCCAGTGTATTAATTTCTAGTGTGTATAAAAAAATCTCTTTCTGAAGATTCGCTCTCATCACTGGGGGGCCTCACCCTACCTATCTTTTTCTGGATTGACTTTTTCCCATGTGCCTCCAAGTATGAGAGCAGGGAGGGGCTGGAGCGGGAAAGACTGTGAGCCAGACAACGAACTCCTGGAGAAAAGAGGGCAATGACTGTGCCAAGGCTGAGGACAGGGCCATGTAGCCAGGTGGAGAAGGAGACGCACGTGGCGACAGTGTGGACACACCACTGTATTCTGAGCCTCAGAACTCTGCTCCCTCCCAGCTCACAGAGGCTCCTTTGTCCAAGGAGATGGTCAAAGTGTAGCAGCTCTTAGGTCCCATCCCTGAATACTCTCCCTGTGACTGCTACCTCAGCTCACAATTACTGAAGTGCAACAGTTCAGAGGTTCACAAGCAAGATAACCCTGACAGGAATAGTGTTTAGGGCAGCTAGGTGGTGCCACCTGTGTCAGAGAAGGGAGAAACCAAGGCAGGAGGACAGGCCTTCGGGCATTTCAGAACAGAAAAGCCAGACTGAGGCCTCAGGTTGGACCTACCTCTTCAAAGACTAGGAAAAGCCTGATTGAAAGGTCAACTCCTTCCCCACGTTCCTCTCCCAATGTATTATGCTTCCTTCTTCGTCCAAACGTTTTTCAGTCATCTGAATTTTGCCTAAACCTCTGCCTCAGCGTTAGGAATTTTCCTAACTGGAGACTCCGAGGAATTTTCATTTAATATAAAGTCCATAAAGCATAAGGGGAGGGAACCACGCCGACTGGAGGGGCCATTGGATTGCCCCAAGGTCAAAAAAGGAGCTAACTGTGGTCACAAAGTATGTGAGGCAAAAGGGACAGGCTCCACAGGGACCCCCACGCCCACCTGGGTCACACTGACAATTCCCACGAGACTGAGTGCCTAAGAGCACAGTCACAGGCTCTGGAAGGGGACCTCAGAGGTCATCTACCCCACACTTCCCTCATTTTACAGAGGAGGAAACTGAGGCAGCCCTGAGAAGCTATGCTGATCCCACAAGTGGCTAGAGTGAAATGTGAACACGTGGATGGCCTTGTGAACACAAAAGCCACCTCGAAGCGCAACCAAAGCAGTGGTAGCTTCCCACCACGTCCCTCAATACAACTTGGCAACTTCAGTGGGAAAATTCCTGCCCCAGCTTCTCGTCCAAGGCGACTCTGTACCATCCTGCTCGTGAACGTGTCAAGTTGTTAGAAGGAAGCTCGCAGAGCCTCTCATTCTGAGCTCCATTAATTGTCCTGAAAATCGAGCCAGATGCTTTAAGAGGGGGAGTCTGGCCAGGGAAGGAAGGAAGTGGACATGCCCATGGGCAAGGCAGTATTCTCGAGAAGCTCCCACAGCTCCCCTCAGAAGGCAGGCAGTCTACAATCTTTTCCAAACCTTCTCCAGACCAGCCTCTGGCCTCAATCATTTCACTCAAACTACTCTCTCCAAGGGCAGCTAGGTGACACAGTGGATAGAGCACCGGCCCTGTATTCAGGAGGACCTGAGTTCAAATCCGGCCTCAGACACACGACACTCACTAGCTGTGTGACGCTGGCCAAGTCACTGAACCCCGATTGCCTCACCAAAAAGCAAAACAAACAAACCCTACTCTCTCCCAAATCTCCAATGATCTTTCTCTCAGTGACTAAATTGAGCCTTTTCTCAATGCTCATCCTTCTTGCCCCAACTCGGGCCGCTGACATCTGCTCTTCTTTACAGGTCTGGGTGCTGGATCTTTTCCTAGCTGTCTGGCTGCCCCTTCTTGGTTTCTTTTCTTCTCTCTCTTCTATTCTTTGGCTCAGTGATCTTGTCAGATCCCATAGATTTCATCCTCATCTCCAAGCTGATGATTTCTCCAGCCCCACCTCTCTCCTGACTCCCAGCATGCCATCTCCACCTGCCCACTGGCCATTATCAAACTGGATATGTCGTGCTTATCTTCACCACCTCCCCTCCAAGCCTCCCCTCTTCCGGTCTAAGGCACCTCCATCCTCTTAGTTCCCCTAGCTCCTCATCTCCATGGTATCATGGACTCCTCATTCTTCCTCATCGATCCCCCCCCAATTCAATCTGCTGTTAAGTCTCATCGCTTTTACCTTCACAACATCTCTCACATATGGTCCCTATCTCTCCTCTGATACTGCCACCCGTCTGGGGCAGGCCTTCATCACCTCACTCCCCGACTATAGCAAAAGCTGCTGGGGGGGGGGGGGGGGGCTGGTTCTGCCTGCCTCTAATCTCTCCCCTCTCCAATCCATCCTCTATTCTACCACTAAAGGTCCGATCACATCACCCCCAACTCAGTAAACTCCAGTGGCCCCCTACTGCCTTCAGGATGCAATACAAAATCCTTTGCTTGGCATTCAAAGTCCTTCACAACCTCACCTCCCCCAACCCTGAGCAGTCTTGCTGCCTCCCTCCCTGACTTGGACTCTGGGATCTAGTGCCACTGGCTTCCTGGTACTTCCCATCTCCTGACTTCAAGCAAGTTCTCCCTCCTCACCTCCAGGAAGTCTCAGGTCGAATTGTCCCTTCTGCAAGAAACCTTTCCTGATCCCCCTTCATGGTCGAGCCTGCCCCTGACATGGTCTCCATTTCTCCTGCCTACAGCCTGTTCGTACACAGGTGTCGGTGTGTCCTTCCCGCCCCCGCCCCCCCCCCAACTAGACTGGGAGTGACCTGAGGGCAGAGCCATTCTTTAGAATCACCACTGCTTAGGGAAGGGCCTGGCTTAAGGCAGGCTTAATCAGCTGACCTGATCTGACTAGTGGGATGAGTTCCTCTGGCGATAACCTCAGGTGACCTGGAGCCTCTCAACCAAATCCATTCAGGTTAGCAAGTGTCTACGCAGCACCTGCAATGTTGGAAGGCCTGTTCTAGAGACTTGGGCTTAAGAAAACCAGCCCCTGGTGACCTCAAGAGGTTGCCATTCTCCTGTGAGACACAGAGAAGTGAACAGCAGATAAGGAGCTCAGTCCCTTGGGCAGTAAAGCAGCAGATGGGTAAGATGAGATCACCTGAGGCAAAGTACACCAATGAGGAAAGAGGCTTCCCAGAGAGGTAGCCCTAGAACCTGAACTAGTGAGAAGGGCATGCATTCCACAAACCCGTGAAAACCCGGATGCCAAATTCAGAGGACATGGAGTAGCCCCCATGCTGAAATGCAGCATCACAATGGAGAAGGCCCTCCAACAAGTTAGTCAAGGTCAACTGGAGCCAAGTGGTAAAGGCTTTAAATGCCAAGCTGAGAAGGCAAGAGGGAGCCCCTGAAACTTCTTGAGCAGGAGCGCGACATGCTCAGACCTGCACTTCAGGAAGATCATTTTGGCAGCTAAGTGAAAACTGGATTAAGGTGGAGAGAGACCGGGAGCGGGGAATCCAGGAGACGACTGAGGCATAGTCCACGAGAAAGTTAACTGCTGAGGCCCCGAACTAGCTAGGTAACCGAGTGTAACAAAGGGGATGAGAGATGTTGTGGACACAGAACCAATCAGACCTGGCGACCGACGGGCAATGGGCCCAGGACTACCACAGAACTTCACAAAGGGCTGTGCCCGATGGGAAAGCCCAGCCTTCGCCAGGTTGATTTGTCTACTTCCGTGGCCTAGTCTGTGTGCTGGCTCTTGCTTTAGATCCAACCCAGGGGTGAAGGAAGCAGCCAAGGCTTGGTGTTCCTACCTCCAGAACAACCACTTGCCCTAGTCACCACCCGGCCTCCCACCAGGGATTAACGCCAGGGCCCAGAACTGCCTCCTGTCTCTCTGCGATCCGTCTTTGCCTCACAGCTTGGAGCCTGTCGTTCTCCGTCTGAAGGAGCTTCAGGGGCTCCCCCCTGCCTCTAAAAGAAGACACGAGCTCCCGGTCTGGCTGGCGTTTGAAGCCTTACAGCAACAATGTCCCTAGCTCTTGGAGTTCTCTTTGCAGACTTTCACGTCCCTAGGGTTTTTGCACGTTTGCCCCGCCCTCATGCCTGGAATGCTGGCCCCCTCCTCACCTCGGGCTCCCTGGCTCCCTTCAAGGCTAAGCCTCCCACGTGAGGGTTTCCAGACCTCTCCTCACCCCATCTCCGAAGCAGAAGAAAGTCGGTTCCTTGGGGGGAGAGGGGGCGCTTTCACTTTTTCATCTGTGTCCCCAGCTCCGCGGCCCCGCGTTAAGCGAACGTGTTCTCGGGCGAGCCTCTCATTCCGGGCCAGGAGGCCCTTACTTCTGCTAAGCACCCTTCGAACCATCTTGGCACCCCATATCCTTTCCCAGAGAGAGGCTTTCCACCCCATCCCATCCCCTGGCCCCACATTTGCTCGGATTACTCTCCTCAGCCCCCGAAAACACACCCGCACTGTCTCCTCCCTCCCAAAGCCAAGGACCAAGCCGGGAGGGCTCCGGAACCACCATTTTCGTAAAGCGGATCCAGCAGCTCAGCGCCCCCCTCCCCCACCGCCTTGACCCGCCCCGGCCCCTGGCAAACACCGCCCCCCCCCCCCCCCCCCCCGCCCCCCCCCAGCCAACCACCACCGGAGATACAAAT